GGATCAGCTGTCCTTGCTGTGTCCCAGTGTTCTCCTGGTGGGCCCATCTTCCCCACCGCCTGTGCTGCAAACACTTCCCACAGGATGGGCTGTGCACCGGTCCCTTGTGATGACTCACCGGCCTCTGAATGGCTCCTTTTTTTCAGTTGTTGTGGCTCCTCGCTCCTGTGTGGGTCCATGGGAACCCTCTTAGTGGTCTTGCTGTCCTGGGGGCCACCAAGGCCCCCTTCTCCCCTGCTGCCATCAAGCAACTCCATCCGAAGGGCACAGCTGTGGATTCTGCTGACTCCTGTTCCATGTGCTCAGCAGCTCCAGGCCTAACGTGGCTGCAGTACAAAACACTCTGAGCAGTTTTTTCTCTTTCTCATTGTGGCTTCTCCCACCTTCATGAACATTGTAGGTCTCTCCTCCTCTTCCCCTGAGCTCTAGCGGTCCCAGCTTGGTTGCTTTTTTTTTTTTTGTCTTTTTCCGTGTCCGGCAACAGATTGCAACCCTCAGTGTCGCCCCCGTACCGGACCGGGACCAGCAACGGGATCGCAACCCTCGGTGCTGCTCCCGCACCTCGCTCAGCCAGTGAGCGGGAACCGGTCTGTATGTGGGATCCGAACCCTCGGCGGGAGCGCCGCCGTGCTTCCCAAGCGGCGCACTATAGCAGTGCGCCACGGGGCCGGCCCCTTGGTTGCTTTTTTATAGTTGTAAATTGGTTGATTTGTGGGAGAGAGTGATGCTGTGGACTATCTATTCTGCCATGTTGACTGGAAGCCAGAAATATGATTTCCATTCAAAGATTCAGCATGGTCTAGTTTACCATGTCTGGTGTTTTGCTGGCCTCTGTGTACAGGCATCTGCTATAGCAGCTCTCACTCCTGCAGCCACACCAACACTAAACGGCAGAATAGATGAGTGTTTCTCAACTTTTTGAATCCTGTGCTCTCTCCCCTGCTTTCTCACTCTATCTTCTACAAATCCCCATCAGCCAACTAATCTCTATCATTTCTTTTATAAAATCAGTGACTATATTGGACATTTTTTCTAACCCCCCTTCCTCTTGATCTACCAACCCTCCCAAAGATTTTGATATGGCAGCATAGTTCAGCAGTCAAGGGCTTATCAATTAAGAGTATGAGCTGTGGAGCTCAATGACCTGTGTTCAAATCCTTTACTCCTCCTCTTACCAGCTAAATCAGTTACTGGACTGGTCTGATCCATAGTCCTACCTCCAGTGAAGGTGCAGAAGTGCTGGACAGGTTCTTACATGGTGTTAACCAAAAACCATGGAATGAATGAGATTGTGAATATGAATTACTAAAGATGGCTGAAGCTCCCTGAAGCTGAATCTAGCAAAACCAGAAGAACTATAGTTCAAAGATTAAGTCAGTCCTCTAGTATTCACAGGGCCTTCACCACACCGCCTCTCGAAAGATAACATAAGACCCATCACTCATTGTGCTAAACATGTTAAATACATTATTTCATTCAACTCTTACAACTTTGCTTTAAGGTATGTATTTTTCTTCCCAATTTACGGAGAAAGAAACAGGCTCATAGAGGTTACACCCAAGGTCATGCAACTAGTTAAATGTCAAAGCTGGAACTGGGACCCAGATCTGTATGACTCCAGAGAGCATACTCTTGTTCATTTACTCTCTTCCGAGATGTAGACTACCAGTCTGAGAACCCTCACTGGTGCCATTAGCCCAAATGAGATCAGATAACATAGGTGCCAAGGAAAACAGTACCCTCTTGAGGAAGAAGTGACAATGCCATATGAAACTATCAATTTAGACAATTAGTTCAACTAACATCTACTGAGAACCAATTTATTCTGGTCTAGGCATTATCCTAGGTGCTGGAGTGCAAAGATGAATAAGACAATCAAGTGGGGGAGACAGACACATACACAGATTATTTCAGTATGATATGGCCAGTGATAAAGGCAGAGAGAAGCATGCATGGGTACCATGAGAGTATGGGCAGGCCCTTTCTCAATGTGGGGAGGCCTCCTGAAGGAGATGCTTCTTAAGCTGAATAATGCAGGATGGAAGGGGAGGAATGGAGGGATGGGGATTACTAGCATGGAAACATGAATGAACATGATTTAAGTGGAAATCTCCAAGCAGTTTGGTATTATTAGGACACAAAATAGGAAAAAGGCAGTGGCGGGAGATGGGACTGTAGAGGTGGACAGAGATCTGATTAGGAAGGGCCCTGAAATGTCCTGTGCAAGGACCTGGCCTCAATCCAGACAGCAGTGGAAAGCTGAGGAAGAGCTGACAAAGCAGGGAGGAGTATGGACAGGTCTGTATTTTATTTTTTTTTTATTTTTTATTTTTTTAATTTTTATTTTGTCAATATACAATGTATATGATTATTATGGCCCATCACCGACTGGTCTGTATTTTAGAAAGCTCACTGGCAGCAGTGTGCAGAGTGATGGAGGGGGTATGCTATAGGGAGTTCTTTATATCTGTTGACCTAAAAAGAAACAGACCAAATACATATAGCAAGGATTTACTGAGCCAATATGAGGATTGCGATCAAGGAGACACATAAATCAGGTAGCCCTGAAAATGTGTTCCAAAGAGAGCCAGAAGAGTTTAACATTTTATAATCACAAGAAGGGCAAAGGGTCAAAGGAGAGAGAGAGAGAAAGACAGCTCCATCTAATTATTTTATCAGACTTTCTACTGGTAGTACGTGACAGATATAGATTTGGGATTGTTACTATGTTACATCCTACATGCAGGGATCTGGGGTAAGGTAATAATTAGTATTCTAGGTTATTTTATGGCTTTCTGGAACCATTATGACTGTTTCTAAGTAAAATGGTCTTATGATAACGTTTCCCAGGACAGGTGGATATGATTACTGACTTATCCCAGATCTCCCAAGTCACTATCATTTAGCTGACCTGGTCAGAACAGATTCTTTTGGTATCATATCTCTTTATGCATGTACTTGGACTTAATCACACAGACACAATGATTAATATCTGCATATGTATACTTAACATCTGAATGTGTGTTTAACATCAATTGAGCATATGGAGACTGTTGGAGAGAATAAATGTTTTGATCGGTGGCCATGGCAGTTGCCTTTATATCAACTTTTCCTCCTCTACTTTGAAATATAATATCTACTTCATAGTTAATTCGAGAAAATCTGGTGAAAGCAGTTGTTTGCTGAGAAGGGAGGAAAAGAGAGAAAGGAAAAGCGTGGCAGAGATTTCTGGGTAGTCATTTCTTTGGAGATTAGAGGTGGTGTATAGGGGAGCTGGATCTTGCATTTTATTATTATTTTTTATTTATTTTTTATTTTTTTTAAAGATGACCGGTAAGGGGATCTTAACCCTTGACTTGGCGTTGTCAGCACCACGCTCACCCAGCGAGCTAACCGGCCGTCCCTATATGGGATCCGAACCCGGGGCCTTGGTGTTATCAGCACCGCACTCTCCCGAGTGAGCCACGGGCTGGCCCTGGATTTTGCATTTTAGAAGCTCTCATGCAATTATTTTTACAGTTACATTCTCCTCCAACACTTGTGAAGGGAAAGTCTTACATTTTTTTTTGAATGTTTTCTTCTTTATCTGTATTTGTTTAGAACCCCACATTTCTAGAAACAGCTTGTGAAATGAATAAGACCAGCTTCTGTGGGAGGATCCTACACAGAGGAATGGAGAATCAGAACCTGTTCCTTGGGGATAAAAAGGATGCTTGCACTAGCGAAGGGTATGTTGTCAGGTGGTGGACAGCTGGGATTAGTACATCTGGAAGAGACCGGTTGTCAAGAGAGATTGGGAAACCAACTCTCTCATATGAGGGCATGGGGAAATTGGGGGAATCAGGTACCCTAATTATATTCAATGGGGGTATTAAATTCCTCTGCTGTGAAAAGATCTTTTACAGAATTTGACTCCTGATGGACTCTAACTGGATGGGGCTGTGGCGTTGTGAAGAAGGTTCCTGGCTATAAGAGCGCAGCGTGCATGGGGTGTTGGTCATGCTGTAAAGGGGCCCCGCCCGTGCCGGGGCGACGGCTAGGGGGCCGGGCTGCGGGGTTAGGGGTGCGGGTCAGGCGTCTCTCACCTTTGCGGGCCTTGTCTCCGGGGATGTTCTGGGCCCGCAGCCGCTGGTCCAGGATGTAAAGCATCTCCCCACCCAAGTTCAAGAATAGCAGCGGTAGCGTCCGCACCGACATGCTGCTTGAAGTCAGCAGTACTGGCGAAGACCCCCGGGACTCTGTAGCCAGTGGCCTGGAGGCCCGGCCGCCGCGTCCCTGAAGCCTGGTTGCTAGGGCAACGCCGCAGATGGGAAGAGAGAGCCAATCAGAAGGCTTTTTGGTGGGAGGTGCCCTGAGGGCGGACGCTCATTGGGCCGGGCGGCGGGGATCGCCCCGGTGGATTGGTTCGAGCCTGACAGGGCTGGCGGTTGGCCTGAGCCGGGAGCGCTGAGTTTGAGTTTCTCAAGCCTCCCTCGCAAGGGCGAGGGCAGAGGCAGCGTCTGCAGGCCGGCCGCGGGGCTCGGGGCCTGACGGGCCGTAAGAGAGGAAAACCCGAACCAAAGCTCTTTAGAGCGGCCTCGGGTCGCTGTTTCCTAGCTGTGACCTTGAGCCTCGGCTTCCTCGTATGTCACACGGAGGGAGGTGCGGGGTGTGTGTGTGTGGGGATCAGTGGGGTCATGGAAAACGCTGCGAAAGCACTCGATAAATGGTAACGGACGTTTCTGTCAGATGGAAGAAGGGACAGAAGACCTCGAATCATTTGATTGCCTCCGCACCTGGTTTCAGACTCCGGGAAGCCAACCAGGCTTGGTCCTGTCTGCCCCGCTCCCAGACATGCGCGCTGGGGGCTCCCCGAAGTTCCCTCCTTCCTGCTGTTAACGGGCCTCCCAGCCGGTTGTCTGCTTTGACGGCAATGACCCCCTTCTCCACCTCCCCTTTGGGCTCCAGGATCACCTTCTGGCTATCTACTACTGAACGTTTTTATTTTGATGAACAACCATTTTTGTAAATTTCGTAAATTTCTGTCCTTCTAAGTACTAATCATCTTTCCCTCCAGCTACTCAGACTTGAAACTTGAGACTTGGCTTCCAAATCTATCTCCCTGAGTCCTATTATCAGTGTCCAAATTCTGCTTTTTCCTCCAAAATCTTTCTCACATTTATCCCTTCCTTTATTTTTTCTATCTGCTTCACTATGTTCCTCCATATCACTGCTCTCTTCTCTGCTCTACCCTGCACTGGCTGCTAGGTAAATTTCAGAAGACATCACTTTCAACATGACACATCCCTTCAGTGAGTGGCTTCCTACTGTTGGCAGATCAGTCTTAGATGCGTAGGCACAGCATTCAAGGCTCTCCACTCTGGCTCCAACTACCTTTCTAGAGCCATTTCTTGCACCTGCCCATCCTCCCCCCCCCAACCCATCTCAGCAGTTTGCCCCCTCTGTGGGCAACTTGCCCACATTCTCTTCCTCAAAACCACACCACTGGAAGTCTTGCCTTGACATTTGCCAAGCTCAAGTCCATTCCATACCCTCTAGTTCGTTTTCCTTCCTTCCCTTCCCACGTTTTTTGAGTAGTTATACTCACAGCCTGAACTTCTTAACATCTTCACTCGTCACCTCACCGCAACTGGAATTAGGCTCCCTTCACCCCACTGAAACTGCTTCGCCATGAGTATTTTTTGGTCCTTCCCTAAATTGACATCTCAGCATCAGGACTATACATACAGTAGTCAAAAGCTGGCAGCACAAGGCTTTGATTTGGTTATTTTCCTGGTCTATGCACCGTTTTAAAAGGGAATATGTATATAACTAGGATAGGAACGTAATAAGCGGCTTCACATCATTACTGTATGCCAGTTCTTTATGCATTTATGTTACCTGCCTGGCTCCTAAAGGCATTTGAGTTTGCTCTAGTGTACTCCTCCCTTAGGTTCTCAGACCATTTTTGTCCCTACGCAGTGTGGTATAATGGACAAAACATAGGCTTTGGGGTTAAGATAGACCTGGGTCTGAATCTTAGGCCTGTCTCTAACCAGCTGTGTGAATCTGGACATTACCTAACCTCTTAGTCCTCAGTAGTATGCTCATGGTAAAATGAGAATTAGCCAATGTGGGAAGTTAAGGGGCTCTGAATATCAGATAATGTGCCTGAGGTAGCACTTTAAAGCCTTTCTTGTAGGACCAGGTCCATTAATGTGTATTCCTTTTTCTCTCCTTCCACTCTGCTAAGCCCCCCCCTGAAATGTTGTTGGCATCCGGCCCTCTAGCACAGTATCTCTAAGTAGCTGTGTCCATTCATAAGTCTTGTCCCATTAAAGGCCTTCCCTACTGTTCCTGGAGGCGATATCTGAACAATTCATCTTCAGTTCTGAGCCTGTCAGCTCACTTGATTCTGCAGGATCCCAGGTTGTCTGTCCAACCCTCACTTCACCTTCAGGCTATGCCCCATCCAGACATGACCCTTTTCTTCATCTACACTCCCTGCCTGGGCAATTTTACTCACACTCGTTGCTTCAATCACTGTTAACAACTCCCAAACCTCTCTAGTCCACACCTCTCTTAGTCCTTGATCTAAATTTCCAACTGTTCTTGGGACAGCACTTTTAACACATTCTTCACTTTTTAGCTTTCCTTCTCAGGATGAAGTCCAGTGTTTTCTCTAGTGTTAGGGACTGAATGTTTGTGTTCCCCCAAATCCATATGTTGAAGCCCTAACTCCAGTTATGGTATTTGGAGATGGGGCCTTTGAAAGGTAAAGGGTTAGAGCAGATCATGAGGGTGGGGCCCTAAAGATAGGATTAGTGGCCTCATAATAAGATAGAGATCTTCCTTCCAGTGCATGCACCAAGGAAAGGCCATGTGAGGATATATTAAGAAGGTGGCCTCTGCCAACCAGGAAGACAGCCCTCACCAGAAACCGAACCAGTCAGCACCTTGATCTTAAGACTTCCCAGCCTCCAGAATGTGAGAAAATAAGTTTCTGTTGTTTAAGCCACCCTATCTATGGTATTTGTTATGGCAGCCTGAGTACACTAATACACCCAGAAGTACTCATCTCTTCCTACTGCTCTTTGCTCACTCAGTTTTAGACAAAGTTTTCTTTAGGTTTCTCAAACATAGCAAGCATGTTCAAAGCCTTGGCACTTAACTTGGTTACATGGGTGGGCTTTACAGTGAAGGGGGTATCCTTAACTCCCCAGAATCTATAAGCAATGTTTTGTGTAGGTATAGTTTCCTGGGGATAGGACTTGTAGTTTTTGTCAGATTTTCAATCTGAATACCAATATCCCCACCCCTAAAATAAATTGCTCTGATCTCTCCCCCTCCCATCTACTCTTCACACTATGGATGCTTAACAATTTAAAACAGAGACCTGTTGCTATCAGTACTCCTTCGGTTTTAAAACCTTAACTGTCTCCTCACTCCCTAGAGGCAGGTGTGTAATTTCCTCAGCCTAGCATGTAAAGCCTCTCACACCCCAGCTTCAATCTTTCTTTCAAGCTTTATTTTACTGCTCTCTCAATACAGCACGCACCTTCTTTGCCTGAGATGCCTTCCCTCCCCATCTCTGCTCAGTGAACTCCTACTCATCCTTTAGGGCTGAGTCTAGAAGGCAGCTCCTAGAGCTGGCCAGCCACCCTTCCTCTGTGCCACCTGGACAACAGGTAGTTGTTAAGGTGAGTGTGGGATGTGTATTATGAGAGTGTGTCCTCTGGTGGGTGAGGCAGGGACTCTGTTTCAGACTATTCTAGGATCCCAGGGCTGAATGAAAGAATGAATTCCTCCGTCTCTGCAGGCCAAAAGAGCCCCATCTTCTTTCCTACCATTCTTCAAGGCAGAAGTAATTTTGACAGAATTTATTGGTTTTCTTTGAGTGCCTCCGATGAGGCTTCGGAAGGGCTCTCTGGGTTCTTCTGGTCTTGTTTTCGGGCTGCTGTTGCTACAGCTTTCAAGATCCTTTTTTGCTTCTTCAACTTTTTAACTTCCTCGAAAACCTGGGAGTGAAAGGACAGTAAAAGGCTTCATAATCCTATGAAAAACCCCAAACTTGGAGCACGTGGGGTGGGAACTGTCTCCTCAGATGGTAACCCCAGCCTTTCTCTATGAGGCTGGTGGCCTGTGACTTCCCTGGGCTCACTCCAGGCCCCGGGGCCAGTTCCATGCCTCTATCAGAAATAGACGACCCCTCCCTACTGCTCCCTCCATCCCAGTCTCAGAATAGGACCAACCAAAGTGGCAATTCTGACTCATACCCGAATGCATAGAGCCTTCTTGGTCACAAAGCGGCGGTGAGCTCGCCGGTAATACAGAGGAGGAAAGGTGTACTCAATCCCCAGCTCCTTGCATGTCTTCTCAAAGACATCATAGTTGGTCTTACGGAGGTTTTTGAGCATCTTTTTCCTCTGGTCGATACTCATTAGCAGATAGCGTTTGTGGGCTTTGTCCTGTAAGAGAGTCTGTATTACTTTCAGTACTATATAAAATAAAGTCGTATGCCACTTCACAGTGACAAAGAATGGTCATTTTATCATCTCATTGAAATTTCCCAACAATCTTAAGGAAATATTAGTGTAAACCTAAGGGAGATATTATCACTGATATTCCCATTTTACAGATGGAAAAATAAAGGTTCAAAGGTGTTATCTGATCCACAAAAGGTCCTTAGAACTCTGAGTGCTGAGGTTAGGTCTTGAATCCAGTCTATTGGTCTGACTCCAAATCTCATGCTCTTTCCCCTACACCACCCATTCACCCTCTTCACAGCTTAGCAAATTGTCAGCTGGGGTAGACAGGAAGGCCAACCTTGTGCTCCTCCTGGAGACCCCAGCTGGGTGCTGCTCTGTGAGGGACCTCTGCAGTGGGGCTGGGGTTCCATGCCCCAAATGAACAAAATTGTGATCTCCGAGGAGCATGCTCAACCAGCTCCATGGAACACTGAGGTGCCAGGCATGGTGCTGGACCAGTCTGTATTCACAAACATGTGTTTATTAAAAATAACAGCAATTGCCTAATTACAGCAGCTCTGTGCCACTGTGCTGATATTGCACAATGGTAAACATGAGCCGGGTAGCAAGAATGCCTCGCTTCAAGTCTCTGCACAGTGGTGTGCCTTGAGGAGTAACTTCAACACTCCGTGACTAGATTATTCCTCTGTAAAATGGGGAAGAAAGAGGGTTAACTGAATTGAATCAGGTAAAGTATTTAGCATGGGGCCTTAAGTCTTTTTTTTTTTTAAAAGATGACCGGTAAGGGGATCTTAACCCTTGACTTGGTGTTGTCAGCACCACGCTCACCCAGTGAGCGAACTGGCCATCCCTATGTGGGATCCGAACCCGGGGCCGTGGTGTTATCAGCACCGCACTCTACCGAGTGAGCCACGGGCCGGCCCCGCTAAAGTCTTTATATGCATTATGTTGGCTGCTATTATTATTTCACGTAATCCTTGCAATCCTGTGAGCAGGTATTCTTATGATCTGTATCTTACAGATAAAGAGAACTGAGGCTCAGACTCTCCAAAGTCACACAGCTAGTTAAGTGGAAATGGCAGAGCTGGGATTTGAACCCAAGGCAATCTGACTCCATTCATGCATTCAACAAATATTCAGTAGGACTCATGTGCCCAATACAATGACCATGCTCTAAAGTTTGTGTTCTTTATTATTTTCTTTGGCGGCTAGCTGGTACAGTGATCTGAGCCCGTGACCTTGGTGTTATCCACACCACTCTAACCAAGTGAGCTAACTGGCCAGCCCTAAAATTTCTGTTCTTAACCACTGGTGACACTCAACACAGCCCTGTAAAGCTCCCATTTCTCCTCCAGAGGCAGGAGGGAAGTGTTTTTCCCATTGGAGCTAAGGGGTGGGTACTATCATGTTGTAGCCACTTTCTTAAACTGCTTCTCTGGACCCAGAGCCCTTCACCTCCCAGACTCCTCTCCCACAGGCGGCTGCTGTTTAACTGTGAATGATATCCAGGGTTTACCTTTCGATGTTTCTGCAAGTGTTCTTCATAATTGCGGATCTTGACGGTCAAGGCAACAACTGAAACCACAAACCACACAGGATGAGAGCAGGGCACAGAGGAAGGAAGGGCCCAGGCCTGGGTTATGTATTAAGAACTCAAGGAATAACAATCACCAATTCTCTCATATAGCTCTCTATAAATCCTAAAGCACTCTGAATTTCAAGACTGTAGATGATTTTGGATTATCTTTCCTTTAGAAAGCAAAGTCTAAGGAAGGGCTTAACCTTATATTCCTAAATCTTATAAAGGTATCATCCAAAAGTCACAGCAAATAGCATTCTTAATGGTAAAAGTTTAGAGCATTCTCATTAAATTCAGGAATTAGACCAGGATGAATGCTATAATGGTTAACGATTTGACACTGTACTCAAGATCCTAGTCAAGGCAGTAAGATAGGATTCTATAACTGTCAAGGGTCTACTCTTTGCCTCTCCACTTCCAGCTGCCACCATCATCTCTGTGCTTTCACTAATGAGTTTTCAGAATCATCAGCTCCTTCTTGTCTCCCAGGGCCCTGGAATATCCTTCTTTTGGGCATCCTCTTCTTTGATTCCCACCTGTATTGCAAAGATAGGGGAAAATGCAGAAGCTGTCCCCAAAGAGAGGTTGTCACTCCAGCAGGTCCTTCCCAGTATACACATTGGGTTCTAGGAGTGCTGCAGAGAGTTCAGTGGAAACCTTGGCCCTGACCACACAGCCCCTTCACCACCTTAGCTACCTTAGCTACAACAGTGAAAGACAGAGATGACCTTTGGCTCCCAAGGGGTTCTCTAGAGCAGACACTCTGCTAGAAAGCAACTTGCTTTCAGAAAACTAAGTAATGAAAGGGCAGGACCAATGCTTGTTGGTAAAGGAGGATTCTAGTTATCACTTCACTGGTGTCTTGGCAAAAAGGCCATCTGTTCCTACCAATCTGGGAGATTTCAGCAGTGATAATGTAGAGACAGGTGTGGTGAGATAAACAGCCCTTTCTGCAGTTTAGAGGGTCCCTAGGCCAGGGTTTCAGTGGGACCAAGGGAAGCTGAAACTCATCTTCTCAAAAGGGATTACAGAGAACCCTGGAGTTGGGCCTCCAGATCTTTTCCATGGGGGTTTAGCATCCAAGATGAACTCATTAGACCTTAATCCCTGGCAGAGGGAGAAAAAAAGAATGAAGGCAGTGAGGTAGAGGAGGAGGAGGCAGCTATAATACAGGGCAATGTCAAAGGTGAGATAATGTGCAGCCCCCATGCAGGCCTTGAACCTACCTCATTTGCTCCCAGTGGTTAATGAAGATCAATTGCACCCACTGCCAAGGGCGATGTGGTGGGCTTTTCACTCACAGCTAATGAGTACTACTGCTAGTTCTAACTCAAAACCAAAGTAGAAACATTATGCCCTTTGGAATGCTGCACAGTGTCTGTCTGGCACATCAGGGTTCACTAAATATTAGTCTTACTATTATTATCAACAGAGCATTAGCTTTTTAGATTCCAAGGTGTGTTTATATCCCTTAGCTTCTCATAATCCTACCATGAGGTAGGTAACATTATCTCTGCCCTGTCTCTCCAACTCCCCCATATCTAGGAAGCAAAGGCTCCAAGAGAGGACTGGTGACTAGCCCAAGCTCTCAGAGAGGGTCGAGGCAGGACCTGGCCGCTGACTCCAGCATCACAGAGCTTGGGATATAGATTACAGTTATCATTGCCATAGGTCCTTCATGTCTCTCCCTTTCCTGAGCCTCATCTAAGTGTAGACAAGGGCTCTAGATAAGGTACCACCTAGCAGATTCCCATGCACCCCCATTCCCCAAGGGCCCTCTGACCAACTTCGAGCCTCCAGGGAGCGGGTGTCCTCAGGGTTTGCCGCGACTTTTTTCATCAACAGTTCTTGCTTGATTTTTAGCTTCTCCTTCTGTTGAAGACAGAGACAGAGAAAATCTGTGTGGTCTGCCACCCCCTAAGAACTAGCCCTCCTACCCCCAAGGCCCTGGCTGCAGTTATAGCAATGAGGTCCATAAGGCTCAGGGCCTGACTTCACTTTGCTCACCATGTCCTTGGACAACCAGCTGGCTATTCACATCTAGGTGAGCCCAAAGCCAAGGATACTGACAGGAGAAATGGCTTATTGAGTGAAGTCCCCAAACCTTATTGTCTGGCTACTGCTAAGCTAATGTTTGGAATCCTTACAGCACCAATTGTCTAGCTCTTAATCCTGTTCGTGACGCCAATTGTAAAGCTAGGTGACCATGCCAGTTGTCGGGCTCTTTTACTTGCCGGTAATCCTGCACCGATTGGGCCAATGGTTGAGCTAGGGCTGGGTCTGGAGCTCCCAGACCCCTCAAGCCCATTCACAGACTGGGTCACAAACCCCTCACATGCCAGGCTGGGTCACCAGACCCCTTCACGCAGGTCTATAAGCTAGGCAACTGGCCACATAGTCCTTGGAAGCTGCAGGTCTGGGAAAACATGGTTGCACAGGGTGGGTGCTGAGGCAGTAAAACACCAGCCAAAGCACGCCACCGTGCAGGCGCACTTACTCCACCCATACACACAATGTTTACTGAACCACCCTGAACCAGCTCTGAGGTGAGGGGAGCCTGATCAATTATTCCATTTTCCCAACACTTATTCATTCATTTATGCATCAGACCTTTATTGAGCACTTTTCTTTTTGTCAGGTGCTGGGGGAACAAAACTGTCCCTGCCCTCTAGATGCTCAGTCTGGGGGTATTGACAAGTGGATGCAGAATGACCATGGGATAAGTGCTGTGACTGGAGAAGCACGGAATGGGGGTCCTAACCAGGGTAGGAGGGAGTCCCAGAGGAGAGGAATGAGGGAGGTTGAGGCTGAGATTTGGTATAGGCCACTTACCTGGTTGGCCATTTCCAAAGACAAGAGTCTTTTAACGACATCATCAATCCTGTGGAAAAACCACAGCAATAAGAGACAGGAAGTGGGGAAGCAATGCCATTTTCATTTTAGTTTGAAAAGCAAGGATGACTGAAAATTCTTTCTCCAGCACGAGTCTCTCTGGAGGTGGGCAGCCATTTCCCAGGGATTAAAAATTCAGCATGGATCTGGCTTGCTGGGCTGAGAACATGGAATGATGTGATAATTACGGAAAACTGGGGCTGTCGACTCCAGTGTTCCAGTCTCATCATTTCCATTTTAGCTAGAACATGGGTCAATCTGTCTCAATACACTTCAAGTCAAACTGCACAGTGGGAGAGACTGGAGGAGGGACTGCCCAGCTCCCACCACACAGGACAGGGCCTGAGCAGGACTGTGGCTTTGGTGTCAGTAAGCCCTGGATTTACATCCCAGCTCTGCTCCTTAGAAGCTGTATGACACTGAGCAGCTTGATAAGCTATAAATTGGGGATACAATTTCTTCCCTCACGTGGCTTTTGTGAGAATCAAGAGATGAGATTTCTACAAAGACCCATGAGGCATGTTAGCTCCTTGGTGTATCCAGTGGCATAGATGGGTCTCCACCCAGAATACAAAAAAAAAAAAAAGCAAGTAGTTGAGCTCCATGAGTGCCATCTGCCCCTGCTGCCCTCGCCACACCTGGGCCTCTATAGCTCTCTACCTCATTCTATAATCAAGTTTCAGATACAGCAGGCCAAGCCTCGAAGCCACTGTCTTTCCCCCCTCCCAGCCAATCCACCCAGGGTCCCCTGCCTCCTCAAATACGTTTCTTCCTGCTTACTTGTCAATTCCAGGGATGTTCTGGTAGTCTTTGAGCAGCGCAGAAGGGGGCGGGTCATCGTCTTGGCTAGACTGGACTGGCAAGTATAGGGATGGAAAACACCCGGTCAACTCTCATTGCCCATCCTCCCAGACTTCATTCTCCTCACTCTCTCCAACTCCAGAAGAGACACCCACGTTCTCAGGCAAGGAAGTGGATATCTCTGGGCTCAGTTTCTCCTCTGCAGACCCTGTGAACACCTGCCTTGACATGTCATGCTAGGAGTAGATGGCTTTTCCCAAGACCCATACTGTGCCTGCACCTCTCACACACCTGTCTGGCTCTTCAGTTATCAGGTGGATGGTCTAGTTATTCACTAGGATGGGTTGTCCTGGGGACAGGACTGAGTTTGACTCTCCTTGAATATCCCACAGTCTGGTCCATGGCCCAGCCTAGAATAGGCACTCAACAAACAAACTACTGTTAAATACAAATGATCGGAAGCCACTGTTTTGGACTAAGTGTCTGTACTAGGTCCCAAAAGACCAGACTAAAAATCAAAATGAAGTCACCCCAACTAAGTTCCATGTCACTTAGATTGTGGTCTGACCTTGCGAGAAGGCAGGAGAAAGAGTAACAGCCGATTTCCCACAGGCTAATTTTAATCTTCAATAGGTATGATAATGAAGTTCCCTCTGCTTTAATTCTTACACAAAATAGATAGCCTGAAGTAACCTGATTATTATTTTTCTATTGTTGTCTTCCTGTCCCCACCTTATTAGGAAAGTAACTTTGAAATGATCAATCTGCTTTTTGTTCTCAGTATCTTTCTTCAGCCTCCTCTGCTGACCTCATTGGAACACTTACTCTATCTTATGGAATAATGTGTTGCCAGATTCGAAAATCACAGTAAAGCCAATTGAGATCTTTCACTAAATGTGTCGTGGTTTTGTTCTTTGACGCTGCATGAATGAAAAAGGGGGCTGAGGAGGAATGGCTAGCTTTAGCCCTAAGAACTTCAGCCTTGGTGTGTGCATCCCTGCCCATCCCTTGTTGGTGATGGAGAGTCATAGGGTAGATCAACTTATCCTCTCCAGTCAGACCCTATTCTGCCACTATGCAAACAATATTAAGCGCAATAAATACTAATAGACACTACAATTTATTGAGCACAGTGCTAAGGATGTTTTTCAGGTGTTACTGTTGAATCCTAACAATCCTCTCAAATGGATACTTTACACTCATTTTAGAAATGAGGCTTGGAGAGAGGAAGTAACTTGCCCAGTATCATTTACTTAATGAGAGGGATCTTAACCGCTATGCATACTCTCTTGGAATGAGAAAGTACATCCTTCATCTCAGAAGGACAGACACAAGGTACTCTATTCTAGGCAGCCCTGGGTGGTGCCAGCCACGCACTCCTTCTGGCCAGCTCATTTTCACTCGCACCCACCTTGGAAAGCTCTTGTCCTCTCCCGCCCGCCCTCCCAAGGAGGCTTCAGGCCTAAGCCTCTGTGCAAGGCGGACGTGGAGATTTTCTACACAGAACTTCTGGCCCACCCCTTTGCCCACTCCATCTAGTGGCTCTAACCTCTACCCCCTTGGCCACCCCAAGCTTTCCTGGCGGTCTCTTTTCCGCCCCAAGTCCCATCTTAGGACTTCCTACCTGGTTTCTGAGTGGCATATCCGCGGGCGGCTTGAAGGAGACCTGCGCACGAGAGAGAGGACTGAGGCCCATCCCCTTGAGTGGTCCAGTCTCAGTTACTTTCTACGCCCCTTGCATCACCTTTCCTCCATGGTCTACGCCCCTCTGCACCTAAGCGCCGCCCCATCTCTTCCCCACCCGCTGCCCCATGTCTTTCCCAGCTCCTCTCACTTCTGGCCCACCCACCGCCATTTCTCCCTTATCCTGCCTCTGCGCTTCTCCCCTATCCCGGTCCCGCGTATCCTGTATCTCCGCCGAACCCCATTTGCCGACGCCCGCCGTCCCATTTCTCCGCCCCTCACTTCGAGGCAGCAGGCGCCACTGGTTGGAAGGAAGCCTGGCGCTCCCTCCGCCTGCCAGCCCGAGGACAGGGGCCTGGGCCACTGCCTGGTTCCGAATGGAACTCAGCATCCTCGACGCGGCCCTCAGCATGGTGACTTCTGACCTCTAGGGGCCCGCGCCGCCGCCGTTGCCTTCTCCGTACGGACCGCGTTACGCGTGCGCCGCCGCGGTGGCTCAGGCTCGACCAATCGAGGCTGTTGCGAGGCCGGAGCAGAAGAGGACCGAGAGGATGGATTGCAGGGCTGGACTCAGCGATGACGCGGTGCCTCGAGGTCGAGTCGAGGGTGTGGTTAGCGGCTGCGCGAGGTCGGCGGCGTGGTGGCTCTGGGGCCTCGCTGTTAATGGAGGGCGGTCCTGTATAAATTCTAAAATGCCTCTTTTTCTTGGGCAAGCAGCCAATCCTTAATCCCTCTGGACCTTCCTGGCCTCGGGCAGAGGTTATTTTGGGACACCGTGGGGCCTGCGGTAGCCCTCTCCCCGCAACCTAGTATTCTTCTCCCCGTCCCCAAAGTCCAGGATGGGGTCCTGTAAGAACTACTGGGATTCAGCCTCCTCTCTGGCAGCCTTGTAGCCTGGTGAATAAGGTCGTTGACTGTGGAATCGGACAGCCCTGGGCTGGAATCCTAACTCAGCCATTTACTCACCGTACGATCTTGTGGGCAAGTCATTTAACCTTTGGGGCCACCGTGTAGTCATCCATCAAATGGGAATGGTAATGACAGTATCTTTAGGTTATTGGGAGGATTAACGGAGGCAGTTGTATGCAAATCACCTTGTATAGTAAGCATTCGATAAATATTAGCTGTGAGAATATTTGTGAAATGAGGGGTGTAAGGACAAATACTAAAAGTAGGAAAAATTAATTATTCTTGGTGCAAAAAGGGAAAAGACTCTCCTCCCCCTCACTTTTAAAAGAGTATTTACTTTAGAAAACTTGTAATTGTGAATTCTTTCTCTACCCTTTTGAGATGAATGTGAATCTTTTTAAAAAAGACTTGCCAGTTTTACAACCCTAGAATGTTTTTCTCAAGGACCTGGGAGCCATCTCTTTGAAATTTAATAGTTAAAGAAGATAATGTCCTATCTCTGTTTCTGTGGGAGTGTAGGATCCTAACTTCAGCTGGTACCTCGTTCCAAGTTGCAAACCTACCTCTTGTCATAAAGATATGAGAAATCTGTTTTTCCTTTGGATAAAGGCCATTAGCAGATACAGATGGCTGCCCATTCACCAGGTGAATTTAGGATGATTTATGTGTGACAGATGGTTCTGTCAAGTCCTCTTACTTGAGTACTAGTTATGGTTTATCTTGAGAAAATGTATGCAATAAGTTGTATGCACTTGGCTATATAAAAGGGTAAGATTTCTTTCTGTCTTTGCAATCTCTTAGTGGATTGGTTGTGATGCGTATCACGTTTTGGTTTAATGCTTATTCAATAATAAGACTTTTCTTTCTTGTCTACCTTTGTGGAGAGGTTTTGTGGGTTGGCAGGAGATTTTGTTTTTAGTTGTATTTTCCCATCAGTGGTTAGTCTTTTCTGAGTTCTCTTTACCGTGTCCCACCACACTCTGACTCCCTCCGTGTAATCCTTGCCCCTGTGCCCTAATGATCAGTTTTCAAGTTTCCATCACTAGAATGGGTGCTCTCTTGAGGATGGACTGAGCTGAGTCATTTTTGAATCCCTGCTGCCAGCACAGGGCCTAGATGCTAGGTGAGAGCTGGTTGAATGAAGGAAGGAAGGAAGAAATAAACAAATGAACAATTCTGAGAAATATCCCCCTGACTGCTAGGGCTCTGAAAAGAAAAACAATGAAGACTTCAGCACATTCGAGAGTTTCTGCAAACAACAACAACAACAGCAACAACAACAACAATAACAACAACAAAAAGTCCCAAAACCAAAAACCAGTTTAAGAGACTAAAATTACAGGTAACAACCACGAGAGGCTAGTGAGTGGGTTGGATGGAGCATTACCTGGCCCTTAAGGTGTACAGGTTTCCCGGGAGGCCCAGCCCATGGAGATTGGGTTATAGGAACAGATTGGGAGCCTTTCTGCCTTTCCTAGGGCTGGGGTAGTTTTTAATGATGGGCTTATTGACCCTCTGCTGTCCTCTGGATAGCTCAGGCCTTTCAAGAGGCAAGCCTAGGTGAGATGTTCCAGGAAGCCCTAGAAGCCCCCCAACCCCTCCACTCCATGGACCTGGAGCCCCTGCAGGAGGGGAAAGTCAAACAGTGGCCCAAAGACACAGTCATCCTCCTGGCTTGGGGGTGGGACCTCTGAGGTCCTTAGGGGACTGGTGTGGAACCAGAGGTTCTCATAGGACTTGGGGCTGGGGGTGAGGCCACCCAAGAGAGGCTGAGTGGAGTCACAGCGAAGGTACTGCTCTGGCCCTGGGCCTGTGGGGCTGCCCAGCACCTGCCCATAAAGGACCTGGTCATTGATGCCAGGCTGGGGCTGGGTGGAAGCTGCTCTTGGGTCCCCCTGGAGCACATAGGCCTGGACCAAGGCGGGGAGGTCACAGGTGTCTGAGCTGTCACTGGACTCCCAGGGCCCCGGCTTCTTCTCTTCCTCCTCCAGCACTGTGATCTTGGTGATGGGTGGCATGCCAGGGTCCCGAAGGCTGGGCAGCTGGAAGGTCTCCTGGGCACAAGGACACAGGATGAGGGCATGGTTCATTTCAGATGTCTGCCCCAGCCACTGTCCCTTCCTGAGTTGGGTCAGTTGTGGGAGGTTCCCGCTGCTGTCTGCCAGAACACAAAGGGTTACACTTGGAAAGCGCCTGTGTGTTTCTGACATGTGTGAACTGCTGTTCAGACTCAGCACTGTGGATCTTCCTGGTTCATAGTGAGGCAACTGGGGCTTTGAGATGGGCAAAGCTGGGATTCATACTCAGGTCTGCTTCACTCCACAGGGAGGGTGTCTTGCTAGAAGTGATGGGAAGGCCTGAGAGGGGTATCCCTTCACTTTGAGCCTGGGCCAACATCCCCAGCCCCATTGCCCTTTGCCTCCAGGGTTCTCACCTCTGCCATGATGGTGGGTACCCAGGAGCCCAGGCTGCTGTGGGCTGGGTCTGGGACACTTGGCCACAGGGGATTCTTCCTGCTGGAGAAGGGGGCAGGTGAAGGCTGGGTCAGGCATGCTCTCCCACCTCTTCATCTTTTGTCCCACTCACCCAGCAGCTGAAGAGCTGCAGCTGCCCCTCAGTGCAGGAGAGAAAGGTGAATGGCCCAGACTCCCAGACATGAGCCCCAAGGTCTGGGAAGGCTGGAAGGGACTTAGACTGGCTCACCTGGGCCAGCAGTTCTCTGTGGGTAGGAGTAGCTGGGTGTCAGGTCTTTCAAAGGACTCACCTGGGGCTACAGCAGAAGCAGGCAGTCCCACAGAGACAGATGAGCAAGAGCAGGAGGCCGAACAGGCCCAGGAGGATGTGTAGCTCGGACCCCTCTGGGATGAGGGGAAGGCCAGAAGAGGTTAGAGTGCAAGTAGGTGGGTCTGGGTTTCCTTCATCAGGCTGGGATCCGTGGGCACAGCTGGGCCTCCTCCCTCAGACTAGGGGATCCAAAGTCAGGGCCCTGTCTACTCTCAAAATCAGGATCCTTTGGGTGGGGCACCCTCTGAACAGCCGTCTCTGCCCAGCCCCCCTCTCCCTTACCTAGGGCCAAGGTCATCAGGGTGAGGCCTGTACTGTTGGTGGCCCCGGCCTGGCTTGAGGCCATGAGGTGGACATGATACATGCTGGCGGGCTCCAGGCCGTGGAGGATGAAGCCACTGGAGGAGGTGTTCAGGATGGTGGCTAGGAGGGGGGGCATATGGTCAGCCTAGCTCTGGTGCTGCAGCTGCCTTCATGGCTGCTGATCACCCCTCTTGGGCCTCCCTGGGGCTGTAGGGCACTGAGGATAGACTCACAGAAGGACTGGTCCTGAGCATTGGTCCAGAAGATGGTGTAGTGGGTAAGGGGGCTTTTCCCCAGCTCAGGGGGCTCGGGCACCCACTCCAGCTGTGCCCAGGTCTTGCCAATGTGCCTTAGGTGCAGCTCTGGGGCGTGGGAGGGGGCTGCAGAAGAGAGAAGTATGGGAGCTAAAGGCAGTGGCCAGGGCAGAGAGCCCCATTGGATTCCTTGTGGCTCCTAGACCCAGGAACTGGGACACACTGTGGGGTGGGTGAGAAAGGAGTCGGAGAGGACTTGTGTCCAAACCTCATTTTCCCAGGGGCTTCATCTGAATCCCATCTACTGCTAATAAGTGGCTGAGCCAGGATTTGAACCTGGTTCTGAAGCCTCCCAGTCTGATTTCTGCCGGGCCTGATTTTGTCTGACTCACTATATGATTTCTGCCACTCACCCTCTGCATTTATGCAAGTTCTAGGTCCAACTTCTATAGGATGTGATACCCGATTTGTGTAATGGCAATTGATTGGTTTTTGCCAGACTTGCTCCCTGAATTCTGCCAAACTCACTATCCAGTTTTTATCACCCCACAACCTGATTTCTGTCTAGCTGCAGGTGTCCAGTGTAAGCCAGGGGTAATATCAGGATTGGAGAGACCCTCTCCAGGTCCAGAAGGAGGAGAGAGAAAATGTTCCTCATATTCCTGACTGCTAGGGCCCAGGCAGGTCTCGGGGGAGAGAGAAGAGGATTCTGGAAAGGGGTCTGATGGCTGACTAACCCATCTCTTGGGAGTAGGCGTAGACGTGCTGGGGGTGTCCCATGATGTCCTGATACAGAGGAGTCACAGTGATCTCATAGAGCTGAAAGGGCCTGATGTTCTCTGTAGAGAAAAAGTGGGGTAGGCACTCTGGTTAGGGGCTAACCTCTGCTGATGATCAGGAGCTAACCTTTAGTCAGGGCTAACCTGGCCTCAAGATGCAGGGCTAACCTCTATAATCTCTTCTTCAGATCATTTGATGGAGGTTAGGGAAGAAAAGTGAAAGAGAGAGCTCGAAGGGGAGCAGGGTCAGGGCTGTAGAGAGAGAGGTCAGATTAGACTGTAGGAAGAACTTCCTGATTGTGAGGATATGAGAACAGTGAAGGATCAAGAAAGGCTGGGGAATCTGCTTCTGCCTCCTGTCAGACAAGCCCTGCCTCCCCCTCTCCTGGGTCTTGCCCACCCACCCAGCCTTCCAAGCCCGCCTCACCCTGCAGCAGAGTCCCCGTAATGCTCCCATTATGCTCTATCCTCCAGGTCTTATTGCTGCTGCTGGGACTGGGGTAACCCAGGCCCCACTCAATCACATAGCCCTGGGGCTGAAGGCTGGGGGGCTCCCAGCCCACCCAGAGGCTGTATGGGTCCCGGGCCTTGGCATGGAGTTTGGCCAGGGGTGGGCCTGGAAACAGAGTGGGAAATGGTGGAATGATGGTTAAAAGAATGCAGGCCCCAGAGCCAGAAGCCTGGGTTCAAATCCTAGCCTTGCTACTTACAGGCTGGGTGACCTTGGGTATGTCAGCATCTGAGCCTCAGTGTCCTGATCTGTAAAGTGGAAATGATGATAAAATTTCCTATTTCATAGGGTCTTGGTGCAGATTAAACGAGATGATGCATGGAACAAGCCTAACATAGTGCGTAGTGCAGTGTGGTACTTGATAGTAACAGCTAACACAATATAGTTCTTGGTATGTTCCAGGCATAGTCTTTGACATATGTTAATTCACTGAATCCTCTAACAGTCACACCAGGGAGGTGCTACTGTTGTCCCCATTCTATCAGTGAGAAAACAGAGAGACACAGAGAGGTTAAGTAACTTCTCACCACACAGCTAGTAAGTGGGAATATTAACTACTGTTATTGTTACTGTGATTATTAGTCCCACCTTGTGAGAACTCATGTTTAGGGGCGGTGGAGATGGGATGGTGGTGGCTGATCCACTGAGAATGAGCAATTAACTCATGGACCGTGTTCCATGTGAAAAAGCTTAGGGCTTTCTCTCTCATCTTTCTTGGTAGAATGGACTCTGTGTATGTGTGTGCGTGTGTAGATACCACTACCAGCTTAACCTGGTTCTGGGTAATGATAATAATAGGTAACACACATTGATCAGTGATTTGTGCCAGCACATGTTTGAACTCATGTAGTCCTCATAACAACCCTCAGTAGGCACTGTTATCATCCCCATTTGCTTGCCAGGGGGGTAAACAGAGGCCAGGGAGAAAAAGTTACTTGCCCAGGTCACACTGTTAGCAAGTGATGGGACTAGATTTGAACCCAGGCAGTCTAGCCTCCAGATTTACATGCTTAACCACAGTGTTCTTCTGGTTGCCAGCCTTCTTTACCTCTGCTCTCCAAGACCACTGGAGTGGGACGAGATATCCCGGCTGTGTTATAGGCCACAATGTCCACCTCCCGGGCTTCTGAAGGCAGGTGGAAGGTGCAGTCTAGCTCCGTGGTGTTGCAGAGGGGCAGGACAGCCCCAGCCTGGCCTGAGGGGCTCCAAGAGACTAGGTATCCTTGGATCTGCCCACTGTCTTCCTCCAGGGGCATTGGCTATGGCAGGCATAGGAGGAAAAATATAAAGGGGAGTGTACAGCTCATCCTGAGTTGGGGAGGGCTTCTAGGTAGGGGTGGATGGATCATAGGAGCTGTGCCCCTCAGGCTGGGAGCAGGCTTCCCACCTCCTTCCTCCTTCCCTCTGTTCTCTTGTGCCAGGCTCTAGTGGGGAGGGAAGGAAGAAGCAAGTTGGTACACACGGCAGGCCCTTAACTAGTCACGTAACTGACCCTTTGGGGCAGAGGTGAGTTCTGCATTGTAGTCTCTCCAGAAGGTCACTATTCAGCTTCCTAGGCACATGCAAAGTGCATGCAAATTACATACAATTGCCTCCAAACATCCCAGACCTGTTGGAGTCTTGAGCCCCAGCCTGCAGGGTCTGACTGGGTTGGAGGAGATCTCAGGGGCTGAGGGTTGGCCTTCAGAGGGAGTCACCTTCCAGAACAGCCGCACATCCACTGTGCTGGGGTCCAATTTCCTCTGCCGCCACCATGTGTCCAGTCTGACAATGGGGGCTGTGGATGGCATGAGAGGAGAAGGTCAGTCAGGGAGGTCCCTGAGGGCTGGACTGGGGACTGATGGCTGCATCCAGCCCCTCATCACTACTTACCCCGTTCGGCGGTTCTCAGCTCTAGGCTGGGGCTCCAGTTGCTCCAGTGGCCAGGCAGGGGCCAGCGTGTGCAGCGCATCTGCAAGGCGTAGGTTGTGGCTGGAAGGAGCCCGCAGAGCTCATACTGGAAGTTCCCGGGGGGTAAGGGGGCTACCTGGTGGGGGGGCATGACTCTGAGCCTGGCTCTCTGCACCCTTCCAGTGCCAGCTCGAGCCCAGTTTACACTCCCCTCAGCCACCCCCACGTCAGATTCCTGAGGTTGCCCTCTGCCTCACCAGTGCCCAGCTGGCTTCTCCACGCTGCGGCTGGTGGCGCAACTCACACTTCTGTTCCACATACAGGCTTGGCTTCCATAGCTCCCAGCGCAGCCGCAGGCAGCCAGGCTGGGGTGGGGCCACCTCAGGGCTGGGGTCCAGGGTCCACAGTGTGGGGGGCTCCAGTTTCACTGTAAGGAGTGGGGTTGTCAGAGCCTCTCCCTGCCCCACCCTATAGAGCTCTACCTTAGTTCCCTCTTGTCTTCCAGTCTCTGGTTCCGTTTTCCTCCCTGGGACTCCATCTATGTGGTCTCTGTCTGTCTCTCTCTGTGTCTTTTCATCTCTGTGTATGTTGCCATGTTTCTGTGGTTCTGTCTCTGTGTATAAGTCTCTGGTTCCGTTTTCCTCCCTGGGACTCCATCTATGTGGTCTCTGTCTGTCTCTGTGTCTTTTCATCTCTGTGTATGTTGCCATGTTTCTGTGGTTCTGTCTCTGTGTATATGTGTCTTTTTCTCTCTAGGTCTCTGTTTCATGCTTCTGCCCCAGGGCCTTTGCATTGGTTGTTACTGTTGCTTGGAACACTCCCCCTCCCCCCAGGTATCCAGTGTCTTGCTCCCTCATTCCTTACAAGGATCTGCTCAATTGTCACCTTCTTCTTGAGGCCTTTCCTGACTACCCTATTAAAATAGGCACCTGACCTACCCCCACTCTCCCTGTGCCCCTCTCCTCCTTTAATTTCTCCATTCCACCTATCATCAGCTGACATTCTATTATATTTATTTTGCCCACTAGAATGTGAAAATCTGAGGGCAGGATTTTTGACATTTTGTTCACTGCTGTGTCCCTGTACATACAACAATGCCTCATACATAGTGGGCACTTCAAGAAGTTTGCTGAAAGAATGAATGGATGTATCTCCTGGCCTCTGTCTCTTTTCCACGTCACTGGGTCTATGTCTCCATTTCTCTGTCTCTCTTCTCTGCCTCTATCTCTAGGTCTTGCAGTGTCTCCTTGACTGTCACTGGGGCTGCATTTCCCTCTCTGTGCTTCTATGGGTCTACCCATTTTGGGGGCCTCTCCCTGCCCTCCACACCCAGCATCACCCACCAACATCCATGGGATTAAGACACAACTGAGGGGATATGCTCGTCCCCAGTGCGTTCTCTGCCTGCACCCAGAGGCCCATATTCTGGTACAACAGCAGGTGTTTGCGAGGGATGGAGCAGTGGCTCTGCCCGGCCTCAGGCACACAGTCCAGGATGAAGTCCTCTTGGGTCCGACAGTCGCCCCGGCTCCTGTCAATAGGACAGGCTTGAGAGCCAAGCAGAGGAAGAAAGCGGGCTGCCTTCTCCCTCCCATCTTTGCCTGAGGCTCCCCCATCCCCCTAGTCCTACCATGTCCAATCCCAGGACCCAAAGGGAAGGGGCTGGGGTGGGGACTTTTACTTACTTGAAGCTCTTCAGGGTGAAGTTGGTGGGCAGGTGGGTCTCGGGTCCTGGCTCCCACTGGCAGGTAAGGCTGTTGGTTGTGAGGTTCATGAAGCAGGACAGGTTGTGGGGTGTGGCAGGAGGGTCTGTGCGTGGGTTGGGAAGAATGTGAGGGCTTTGGGTGGGACTACTCAGAAAGCTCCCACTGGGACCAGTTGGCCTTGTTCCCTTGCCCTGGGCCGGTCCCTCTGGGGTCACCTTGTCCATCCCCTGTCTCCATGCAGAGTGACTTGGAGAGGCAGCCCTGAGGGATACCAAGTTACAGGAATGTATGGGGGCAAGCATCACAGACCCCCAGCAGCCTGGTGGTCCCCCACCTCCAAGCCCCCCAACTCCAGATCCTTTTGTCAGTGACAGTGTAGTGTTTGGGTTTTTATCTCAGTTCTGTCATTCATTAGCTGTGTGATCTTGAAGTTTACTGCTCTGTGCCTCAGTATCTTCACCTGTAAAATAGGGGTAATGGTAATATACCTACCCCCTAGGGTTATTGTGACGGCTAAATGACTGACTACACATGATGTGCTCAGAACAGTGCCTGGCACATCGTAAGTGCTATGTAAGTATTAGCTGCTTCTATTATTACTATTATTTTTGTGGCTGGCCAGTATGGGGATCTGAACCTGCAATCTTGGTGTTATAAGGCTGTGCTCTAACGAACTGAGCTAACTGGCAAGCCTACTTCTATTATTGATTCTTAAACAAAAACCTTGGGTTTTGTTTTTTCGTATGATTTAGCATGGCACAAACTCCATCCTGCTCAGTTTGAAAAGAAGGCTGAGACTGGGATGGGGGAGGTGCTGGGCACAAGAGCAGCTGGTGGAGAATGTCCTCCCTGGAGACACCTCCTATGGCTGAGAAGTTGGGCTTGCTCAGCAGCTGTATGAGCGAGCGGTGGTTACTGCTCTGGGTTTAGAGCCACACTGCCTGATATAAATCTTGGGCCCATCCTTATTATTAGTGTGTGACCCTCAACAAGTCACTTACCCTTCCTGAATGTTAGTTTCCTCATCTGCAAAATGGGGCTAAATAGTAACACCCATTGGTAGGGAAGATTACCTGATATCATGCCCATCTAGTGCTTATTGAGCAAGAGCTCAACAGGTAATAGCTCTTATTAGTACTGACAGGAGGGTATTGGAGGCAGAGCGGGTGGATGGCTGGAGGGACTTACAGCCTGCCCGCAGCTCAGCCTGATCCAGGATCTGCAGGCTGTTGCTCCAGTGCAGGCAGCAGGAGAGAAAGGCCTGAGTGTGGTTGAAGTGGGGCAGAGTGATGGTAGATTCCTGGGTCCCATCAGGCAAGCGCTGCTGTCTCCCCCCAGGTTGAAGCTCTGCTCCCAGTCGCCACAGAATCTGTGACTCCAGGTCCAGGTGACTGCAATTCTGGTTGATGGTGCAGGAGGCTGTGATGGGATCTCCCAGGCGGACAATAGGGGCTGAGAGGCTGATGTGCCCGCACTCCTCCAGGCCTGGGGTGGATGAGAAGGGGCCATGAATGACTCCTCTGCCTGGCAGAGATGGGCTGTAATCTGGGCCTTTGCACTCCTAGACTCAGGGCCCTCACCTTCTGGCCTCACCCTGCAAGACGTGGGAGCCGGAATGGGTAGGGTGTATGGGGACAGTGAGAGGATATAAGGGCTGAGATAGAGATAGTGATGAGCTGGTAAATGTTTATCAGCCAGCTCTACAGAGAAAAACAGACCCTGATTTGTAGTACGTGCTACTTCCCGTGGTGTAAGTACTCCCACCATAGCTGATTTCAAGCTACTAATGTGACATCACTGAACACAGAGTTGGGAAGAGATGTGCATAATCAACTCTTACAGCCGGCACCAGCACACCACCAGATAGGGATGAGTCCCCTCCCCAAAGGTGGTGAAAGCAATGACTAGAATGATAAGCACCCGCAGCCACAGCAATCTTTTCAGAATTCATATCTGATTGTGTTACCCCATCTCGATCACAGCACTTCAACAGAACGTTATTGCTGTGAAAGGCAGTGTGGTGTGATGGATAAGAGCATGGACATTGGAACTAGACTGCCTAGCCTTAAATCCTGGTTCTGTCTAATTATGTGATCCTGGTTGTTTCTGAGACTTTCTGTGCCTTGGTTTTCTCATCTGGAAAATGAAGAAAAGGATAGTCTCTACCTTAGTGTTGCTGGAAGAATTAGATGTGATAACATACATATGTGAGGCACTTAGAACACTGTGTGGCATGTGTTTGCTGCCATGGTTAGGATAAAGACCCAAATTCTTCATGCAGCGCTTGTGGCCTGTCCGTGACTAACCCTCTCAGTTCCTGCTCAGACCATTCTCTCAGCTCCAGCCATTCTTGCTGTTCCTTGAAATCACCATGATTTTCTCAAGCAGGATTTTTGCACCGGCTGTTCCTCTTAGAGGTGCTCCCACCCCTCCTCTTTGACCTGGTTGACATTTAAGTATCTTGGGGGAACCAGACAATGCCCTAGCCAATCAGACCAGGCCAAGCCCCCTGTACTTTCCCAAAGTTCTCAATATCCTTCATTATTACAGAGTCTTGTGATTATTTGCTTACCTATCTCCCCAGCTAGACTATAAGTTCTGTAAGGCCAGAGACCTTGGCTGTTTTGTTCATTACTATACTCCTGGTGCCTGGCACAAAGTAGGCCCTTGGCAGATACTTATTGAATAAATAAGCAAGTAAACATGCACTTTGCACGCAACACCTTCGTCCTCTCTCAGCTGTTCTTAGGCCCATTTTACTGATAGGGATGCTGAGGCCCTAAGATGAGAAGCAGTTTGTCCAGGGTCACAGAGCAGGTTCATGATTCTCAACATGTGGCTCCTACTACTTCACAGATTCAGAATTTCAGGCTGGACGGAACTTTACAGAGCTGTTTACTTCAAAACTCCACCTGATGCTATGTCCTCTAGAGTAGAGCTTAGGTGGCCTATTTTGCTATGGCCTGTCAGCTAACAATGGTTTTTACATTTTTAAAGAGTTGAAAACAAACAAAACAAACACCAAATAAGAACATGCAACAGAGACCGTATGTGGCCTGCAAAGCCTAAATATTACTGTCAGACAATGTTTGTCAGCCCCTGCTATGCAGTGTCCCTGTTAATCTTGGCCTCACCTTGCATACTGCCAGAGATGGGAAGCTCTCCACCTTTCAAGACCCTTTCCATGGTTGGAGAGCTATGTCCGGGCTTCCTCATTTTATGATGAAAACCGTCTCCTTGCGGCTTCCACCCTGGTCCCTTTGCTGTCCACCTAGATGTTCCTTCTGACAGCCTGGCAGAGACTTGGGGACAAGACCTACATCCCCCTGGCCTTTTCCAGTCTGACCAGCCCAGGTGCTCTCACCACTCCTCTTGGGTGGTGGTTTGCCTGTGGAGGTCTGTGGGTGGGAGCTCAGCTATCCCACATTGGTGGCTCAGTCTTGAGTTTCTTGGGATTCTCTGGGAATCCCAGGAACCGTGGGGCAGTGCAGGGAAGCGATTTCCTCCCCTACCCTGAAGATCTCTCTCTGTAACTCCCCCCTCCCAATTGTACCCCACCCATGGCCGCACTTACTTCCTGGGAGCAGCAGGATGATCAGGGCAGCGCTGGTTAGGCTGCAGGTTCCCAGCCCTGCCATAGTGCCAACTTGGTGCTCACCTGGAGGCAGAGGGGAGTAATTAAGGTCATGGGCTTTGGAGTCAGAGCTGAGCCACAGTGCAGCTTTGGCCAGGTTACTTGACCTCTCTGAGCCTTAGTTTCTTTGCAAAATGTAAGTAACAGTAGCCTATACTGCTAGGGCTTTGGAAGGAAGACACAAAATTATGCAAGTCAAGGGCTTTGCACAGTGTGTGGCACATAGGAAATGAGTCTATAAGGGACAGCTGATGTTATTATTATACTGGCCTTTCAGGAAAGTGCGAGGAAAGAAACAGTGAAGAACAGCATTCTTCCCCCTTCCATCCTGTCTAAGCTGGGCTCCCCCAGAAAGCAGAGCCTGAGATAAAGGCTTGCGTGTAGGTAGTTTATTTTGGGGAGATCCCAGGAGCAGGTGAGGGAGTGGGGAGAATGAAACAGGGAGGGAGGGAATGCCAACACAAGCTTGCATCATTAAGCTGGTTACCTCTTTGGACAACTGGGGATTGATTCTGCTGGAAGCTTCCAAGGAGCCATGTAGAACACTCCTCAGAACTGTGCACCCAAGGGACAATTTATTCCTTGGATGGGAGGGAGGACAAGAATGTTTACCCACCAACTCCTGCCCCCCATTGGCAAAGGAATGCCCCCTGGGGTGTTAACTCCCTGGTATGTCCAGGTTGCACATGCATGAGTACCAGGCAGGTTCTTCTGGGTGAGCCATGCCCAGGGATGCTCCTGGAAAAAAGAACTCCACGGAGCAGCTGAGGTAAGGGGCTGTTGGGTTATACCTGCAGGAAGCTGGCTGCCATGGCAATGGCCAGAGAAAAAAATGAGCTGAGAGGAAATCAGGTGGGGCACACAAAGGGTTCCACACACCCCCAATTCTGGGCACAGACCTCTAGGGGCCTTTTGGGGCCAGGTGATAGTGCCTGGGTAGAGGGAGCATTGGCTCCAGTCTTAGGAAACATGCAAAAGTTCCTACCACTGGGGTAGATGTCCAGCCTAGCACTCCACCCTGTTCTCATTTGAGACTTGGGGTCAGGCACCTGGTCCTCCAGCACTAGTTGGTGCTCTTGGCAGATCAGTGGGAATCTCTGACCAGCCTGCAAGTATATGTAATCGTACGGACACATACATGGAGGTGGTGTCCAAGCAGATCCCCTGTGCTCAGCAGGGAGAAAACTAGGAGAATCTTCTCTCTCTCCCAGACAGATGTGTGGATAAGAACTGCCAAAATACCCGAGGTTGTTCCTGCTTGCAGGAGCCCTATGCCACCCCTCAGCCTATCCATATGTATTGCAGTATCGGGATACTCAGTGACTGCTATCCCATAAGTCACCTTTGTGCAGATCAGGAAAAACACACTCTTCCTATGGGCAGATGCAGCCCCATATTAGGACCTGGCAAGTGGAGAACAGGCTGGATTTCAGCCTCAATTGCCCCTCAGTTGGGCAGTTTTGTGCAGTGAGAAACCTGCACAACTGTCCGGACCAATCCTGTCTACCATTAGTTGGTAACCTTCTTACTACATTATCTCCCCCAAACACTGGTTGGAGAGAATTTAGTCTCCTAGGCCCAGAATTTGGGACACTGGTTCCCAGCTCCATGTGTTTTTGATCATACCCCAGGCTTGCTGCCCTAGCTGGGGTCAGCTTCAGGCCCAGCCTATGCCCAGTGAGGTACCACCTTATCCCTCTCCACTGACTTCTGTCCAGAGCAGGCAACCAAACCCCGAGAGGCTCAGGCATCCTCCCCCTGGGTTGCTGGGTGTTGGCGTGTTTGGCATCAGTCCCTAGACCCCTACAGCAGCCCTGGGCATCCTCCACCCTGATTGAGCGGGATCTGGGGCCTGTTGGAGCGTGGTCTTACTCTCTGGGGGCCAGTATGCAAAGGAGTTGGGACCTGATCTGAACTCCGGCTCCACCACTTACCAGTTCTGCGACTTTGGATGAATTACTTCATCTTTCCAAGCCTCAGTTTCTCCATCTGTTAAAAATGGATAACAGTAGCACCCACTTCTTAGAGTGGTTGTGAGGACTAAATGATATGATTATTAAAAAAGTGCTCAGCGCTGTGCCCAGCATACAGTAAGCACTTAATAGCCATAGGTTATTTTCACGAACCATAGAAAAGGACAGCACATCATGCAATCCAGCATGGTTTAGTGCCGCTCCCCCTGCTGCTGGCTGCATGATCACCGCCTCCTAGGACTGCCACCTTGTCTTTATCTTTGTCACACTGCACAGTTTCCAAGCCCTATTTCTGGATCCCCTCCTTCTGGCTCCCTGGCCCCTCAGTCTCTCCCCCTCACTCCAGCTGTCTCTGCCGGGCTCTCCAGGTTCTCTGACTCTGTCCTAGCACACACGATGCCTCCTGGAGTTGCTGCCCTCACGACCCCTTTTTCTGCTTTCTTCTCTCTTCCTTCCCGTCACATGCACCCTTTTCCTTTGCTCTCCCCTGTTCTATCTACTCTCACCTCAGGATTCTTTCTGTGGGAAGAGGTGGGGGATGGAGGAGGAGGCTGGGAATAAACGGAGGGAGAGGCCTTCCCAGATGTGGTTGAGAGAGAGAGGGAGAGAGAGAGAGAGAGAGAGGCGGGAGGAGTAACGGAGCGAGGCAGAGGCTAGGATAACCACAGACTGAAGTGACAGAGAGACCCACAGCGATACAGACTGAGACAGAGAAAAAGAGCCTGGGCCTGGGACAAATACACTGACCCAGAGAGACAGAGGCCCTCGCGGTCTGAGACGCATTCTCAGTCTTAGCCCGAGAGTTTGATTCAAGAGACAAAGAGAAACCTGAGAGACAGAAAGACTCTGAGACAGACAGAAACTCAGAGAGAAAGCAAGCCAGAGAGCTGCTGAGGAGGAAAGGCCAAGATGGAGGGTAAAACTTCTCAGTCTTAGCCCGAGAGTTTGATTCAAGAGACAAAGAGAAACCTGAGAGACAGAAAGACTCTGAGACAGACAGAGACTCAGAGAGAAAGCAAGCCAGAGAGCTGCTGAGGAGGAAAGGCCAAGATGGAGGGTAAAACAGACCGAGACAGGACTGGAGCAAGCGGACACACAGGTTTGCAGAGGCAGAGACATGGAAAGCGAGGACGATTATGCCCGTCCCTGAGCCCAGCTAGGGGTCATCAAAGAAATACTTGTCTGTTTGTGACCTCCCTGATGTACCTCCCTTCCCCCAAAGTGGGGACATTCCTGGGAAAAGAGACTTGGTCCAGGGCTCCTGGTTCCAAGAGGCGAATCCTGAAGGCAGGAGCTTGGCCCCAGGCCTTGGCCCCCCAGACATAGGCACTTGGCAGAGCTGGAGGAGTGGACCTGGGAGTCCAGGTCTCCACCAAGCCCATGGCTCAGTCCCTCCCTGGGGATCCCCTACTCACGCTGAAGCCTGTGGGCAGGCACCCGCCTGGCCTCCCTGGTCTGTCCTCTTCTCTTCAAGGCAAGTTCCTGAAACCAGCCACAGTCCGGCCTCCCTCCCCAGTCCTGTCGTTAATGGCTCAGTCTCTGACAGGCCCGGGGTCTGGGGATTGCAACACCTTCCCGGCCTCCCTCCTGCCCTCCCTCGCGCCTTTGCAGGCACGGGCCGCCCCTTCCTCCCAGGAAGGAGCCTGTGAGCGAAACTGGTGAGGCCTGGACAGCCTTCCTGCCTCGGGGGTCTTAAAGGGTTGGGGGATGTGGCAATGATGTCCCCTTCCCCTACCTCTGGATTTCCTGAGCTCAAAGCTTTGAGGCTGGGCAGGGCCCAGGTTCTAACCTGCTTGGGTGTCATATTGTGCCCTCTGCCCTGGGGCAGCATCACTTGGAGACAGACCCTGGCTGCTAGGCTCACTCAGCCCCAAGCCTCTTTCGACACTAGCCTTGGGGCCCTGATCCTCACCATACTCAGGAGGGTGTCCTCTAGGCCCCAGGGAATTTTATAACAGTATTTTCTGCTCACTTCGCCATTGCCCATAGGCCAGGCGGATGGGGAACTGGGGGCTCTGGGGACAAGACGGGGATGTTCTGGTGAGGTGTAGGGTCTTCATATGTTTACTAAAATTTAGTAACGTTTACTCACAATGGTTCTGTTACAATGGATGCTTTTTAACCAAGTGAAATAGACTACATTTTATGTCTTTCATTGTCTGTATCCATGATTGCCCTGCAATTGTTTAGGAATAATTTTCTGAAGAGGGTTCACACTGCTCATAGTTTATTGGATTCATAACCCAAAAAAGGTTAGGTACCAACAGAGTGTCCATAACCTATGATCCTATTCTTTTTTTGTGGCGGGGGGGGGGCCCCGGCTGGCCAGTATGGGGATCTGGGGATCTGAATCCGTTACCTTGGTGTTATAAGGCTGTGCTCTAACCAACTGAACTATCTGGCTGCCCCCTCCTATGATCCTTTTTAGGAATAGTGGGCTTCTGGGTTTGGTGCAAGGGGGCAGACCTGGGCTGCAGTTCTGGTTCCAGACTGAATTACCCAACTGCCTCCTACAACCT